TATGAGTCGGGGCCGACTCGACGGCACATAACAACAACAACAACAACATACCTCTTCAAATGAAACATATTTCCTCTGTTGGTAGAATCCTTTTTTGTGTAATGTTAAGAGATTTTCAGTTTTGACTGAAAAATAAGATTATAATCATATTTATTTTATAAAATGACTTTATGGACTTTCAGTGAAGTAATAAGAACAGCTAAATTGTTGCAATACAACTTTTGTGGAAAATGCTAAATATTGCAGATGATGTGACATGGTATCTGGTCTGCTAGCCTTCTTGCCCTTGTTATTTGCAGTTGTATTAGGCTGATTAGATTATAACTCAGCCTTCTGGAAACCAATTTAGTGAGATAAATTCATTTTATTGTCCTTTAAATTGTAAATGAGATTCAAGATTAATTATTTGATAGATTGGGGTTTTAAATTGAAATCTTCTCCCATATTATTTCATATCTACGTACTTCACCTGAAAGTGGGTTTAAAAAGTTTCGAGCTAATTGATGTTATTTTAATATTCTCAGTTAAATGAAAATTACCATTAAAAGAAAATCAACCCCGGCCTTTTCTTTATACCCCTTAAACTACTGCCTCCTTTGCCATTCATAAAGCTACTTGGAAGGTTTTATTTAGTCTAAAAACAAAATAAGTAGTTTTCTCTGGAGAAACTAAAGAAAAACATAGTTTGTGGTATTCTTCCCAGAAAATGGGAAACCAACCGTCTGATCTCATATTTTTATAATTAGGTTACATATACTGTGAGGTAGGTATATTTGATGGAAATAATAGCTCTCCTCAGGAAATAAGTGTGTGTGTGTGTGTGTGTGTGTGTGAGAGAGAGAGAGAGAGAATTGTGACTTTCACTATGTGCAGATGCATGTAGGGGCTTGGCTGGGTGGTGGTTGTTGCTGTTATGTGCTGTCAGGTCAGTTCTGACGCTTAGCAACCCACCTACAACAGAACAGAATAGACACTGCTTGGTCCTGTACCACGCTCACGATCATTTTGTTTGAGTCTGTTGTTATAGCCACTGTGCCAATCCATCTTGAGGGTCTTCCTCTTTTTCGCTGACCCTTTACTAAGCATGGTATTTTTCTCCAGGGACTGGTCCCTCCTGATAACATGTCCAAAGTACGTGAGACGAGGTTGCGCCATCCATGTTTCCAAGGAGCGTCCTGGCTGTACTTCCAAGACAGATTTGTTTGTTCTTCTGGCAGTCCATGGCATTTTCACTATTCTTTGCCAACACCGTAATTCAATTCCTAACCAATTTTCCTTCAGTTTCCCTTATTCACTGCTGCCTTTCCCATGTACTTGAGACATTTGAAAGTGCCATGCCTTAGGTCAGGAACACCTTAGTCCTCAAACTGATGTCTTTGATTTTAAACACTTTAGAGAAGTCTTTTGCAGCAGATTTGCCCAATGCAAAACGTTGTTTGATTTCATGACTGCTGCCTCCATGGGCCTTGATTATGGATCCAAGTAAAATGAAATCCTTGACAACTTCAATCTTTTCTCTGTTTATCTTGATGTTGCTTATTGGTCCAGTTGTGAGGATTTTTGTTTTCCTCATGTTGAGACGTAATCCACACTGAAGGTTGTAGTCTTTGATCCTCATCAGTAAGTGCTTCAAGTCGTCTTCACTTTCAGCAAGCAAGGTCATGCCATCTGCATATCGTAGGTTGTTAATGAGTCTTCGTCCAGTCCTGATGCTTCGTTCTCCTTCATAGAGTCTAATTTCGGGGATAATTTACTCATTGTACAAACTGAATAATTATGGTGAAAGGATACAGCCCCGACACACAACCTTTCTGATTTTAAACCGTGCAGTATCCCCTTGTTCTGTTCAAATGATAGCCTCTTGCTATATGTATAGGTTCCTTATGAGCACAATTAAGTGTTCTGGAACTCCTATTCTTGCAATATTATCCATAATTTGTTACAAACTATACAGTTGAATGCCTTTGCATAGTCAATAAAGCACAAGTAAACACAAGTCTGGCATGAGGATTGGAGGAAGACATTCATTAACAACCTGCAAAGCAGGTGACACAACTTTGCTTGCTGAAAGTGAAGATGACTTGAGGCATTTACTGATGAAGATCAAACACTACAGTCTTCAGTATGGATTACACCTCAACATAAAACAAGAATCCTCACAACTGGACCAATAAGCAGCTTAATGATAAATGTAGAAAAGATTGAAGTTGTCAAAGATTTCATATTACTTGGTTCCACAATCAACACCAATAGAAGCAATAGTCAAGACATCAGATGACATAGTGCACTTGGAAAATCTGCTGCAAAAGACCTATTTAAAGTGCTGAAGAGCAAAGATGTCTCTTTGAAGACTAAGGTGAGGTTAACCCAAGCCACGGTATTTTCAGTCGCCTCATGTAGCATAGTACCTAAGGCACTTGACTGCTAACCAGAAGGCTGGTGGTTTAAACCCACCAGCCACTCCTTGGAAGGAAGGTTGGGCAATCTACTTCTGTAGTGATACCACCTCGGAAACCCAAGGAGGGGTCGCTCTGAGCCGGGTCCTACTCGACGGCAAATAACAGCAACAACAACATATGCATATGAAAGCTGGACAGTGAATAAGGAAGACCAAAGAAGAGTTGATGCTTTTGAGTTGTGGTGTTGGCAAAGAATACTGAAAGTCCCATGGACTCCCAGAAGAACTAACAGATCTGTCCTGGAAGTGCAGCCGGCATGCTCCTTGGAAGCGAGAATGGCCAGAGTTCATCAGACCTACTTTGGTCGTGTTGTCAGAAGGGACCACTCCCTGGAGAAGGATATCATGCTTGGTTAAGTGGAGAGTTAACGAAAAAGGGGAAGACCCTCAACAAGATGGATTGGCACAGTGGCTATAATGATGGACTCAGGTATAGCAAGGATTGTGAGGCTGGCATAGGACCAGGCAGTGTTTCGTTCTGTTGCACATAGGGTTGCTATGAGTCAGACTCAATGAGGATGGAGAAAGGCCATGTGTTGGAAGGCCTTGGATGCCACCTTAAGTATTCTGTAAGTTTAGGAGAGTTGCTGGGTTTTGTAGGATAGAAATGGCCTGAATTGCTTTTGTTTTAGGAAGACAGCTGATAGCAGAGTGGGGTGCTTTGGCGTGAGAGCGAGCTGGGTGGTGGGGAGATCAGCTAGGTGATTTTTTTTTTTTTTTCATTCATTCTTTTATTCATTCAAGACATGTTCTGTGCCCTGTAGTGCTTTTCCAGGTACCTCAGCCAGGGACCAGTGAGTGCTAGAAGCAGCGTGTGGTGGTAGGAATGGCAAAGCTAGGATGGATCTGAGAGGCATTACAGAGGGGTAGGGGCCTGACAACTGAGCATGGGTGTACAGTCCAGACAAGGCTAGTTTGAGCTGTACACAGACTTGTGTGTGTAGGTGTGTATATAGGTATGTGTAGATGTGCATGTGTAGATGTGTGTATAGGTCTGTGTAGGTGTGCATGTGTGTGTAGGGGTATGGGTACAGGAGCGTGTGTGTAGGTATGCATGTAGGTGTGTGCACGTGTATATGCTCATGTGCGTGCGTGGAGGTGTGTTTGCAGGTGTGTGTAGGTTCATGTGTGTAGGTATGTGTATGGAGGTGTGGGTGTGTGTATGTATAGGGGTGTGTGCATGCATGTATGCGTGCATGGGCTTGTAGATGTGGGAGGGGGTAGGTGTGTGGGCGGGTGGTGGCAGGCTGTTGGAATTTGAGGGTAGGTGCTTAGGGAGCTCTGGGTTGGACCCATCTTTGCAGTAAAATGCAGAGGCTGCTCAGTATTTCCTAAGCTCGGGCTGAGAGGGCGTTCGGCCCAGTGAACCGGACATCCTTCTGCTCAGCTGCACAGCAGCCTGAAGCCCTGTGCCCCTGTTCTTTAGGAGCCTGGGAGTGATGGAAGACTTCCAGAAATGAGTGTCTGAAAATAGATTCTGTAAACAATTGTCAGTCTTACATCCTGTTTTAAGAAGAGTAGAGGAACTCTGGTGGTGCTGTGGTTAAAGCACTGGGCTGCTCACCAAAAGATCGACGGTTTGAATCCACCAGCCGCTCCGTGGCAGAAAGATGAGGCAGTCTGCTTCTGTAAAGATTGGCAGCCTTGGAAGCCACATGGAGCTGTTCTACTCTGCCCTGTAGGGTCACTATGAGTTGGCATAGATGATGGCAGTGGGTTAGGTTTGGGTTTTGGTTTGTTGTTGTTGTTGTTGTTATGTGCCGTCGAGTTGGCCCCGACTCATAGCGACACCTC